CCGATCAGGGAGAGCACCCGCCTGCCTCCGATCAGGGAGAGCACCCGCCTGCCTCCGGACGCTCTGATCTCAGCCCAGTAAACTGACTTTGGACTCCACTGTGTCATGGCAGGGAGCTCAGCCTGAGCTCTCCCAGCTCCTGGCTGCGGCAGACACCGCTCTCCCGCCCAGAACCCCACACATCAGCTCTGCCCTTTGCCTCCTTTAAGGGTGTTGGGGACTGCATTTGGGTCCACTGCAGAATGTCCTCCAGATCCTTCACTTAATCATACCCTCAGAGACACCCCACCCCTTCTTTGTTGTACAGGGTAACATTTACAGGTGCTGGTGATTAGAAGATGGACATTTTTTGGGAATCATCTTTTAGTCTATAACAGATTAAGTCGTGTGATCCTAATATGAGAATAAAAGATCAATTCCATCAAGGTTAAAGGTCTTTAGGTAGGTCAAATCATGTGATCAATTCAAGCTGAAACCACAAACTTCCATAAGCAGATAAAAGAACTAGGTAAACTCTCAACTTGAACTTAAGATGACAGACTCCTAAGTCATGGAATCACTGACACAGAGGAGAGTGTGCAAGCTACAGAGTTTTGAGTTCTGACTTTAAGCCTTTAGCTTAAATCTGGGCTCTCTCACTTAAAAAATTATATGGGCTGGGGCAAATTCTGCATAACTGTCACAGATTTAGTTTCTTATTAGATGGAGAAACTGCCTGGCCATACAACTGCCAGGGCTGGAGAGGAGAAGGTGGCCTTGGGGGGGGGGGGCAGCACCGCAATCTCCCTCCTCGGCATGGATGCCTCTGAGGCAACAGTAGATATATCCGGTCCCCAGATTACAGATGTCCCTAAACTGGATTTGTTCCTGGTCCAACAAACGGAGCCTTTACAGTACCTGTGAAAGTTTGTAACCTGAATGCTCACATCAGGGACTTACTGTACTACTGTTAATAGTTACATCTTAAAAAATCACATCACTAGCACACATTAAAAGCTAGAAAAGACTATACAGTGCAGAGCTGGGGCAAAAGGAGACAATGGAATAGACATGTTTGAGAACTGGGTGAATCCTGATGCTTCAACTCTGATTCCATTATTTACAAGCTATGTGCCTTTAACCAAGGTTTTCCAACTGCATCCACTGAAGTGTCTCAACCTCTATACTTCATACACAGAATTGTTAAGAAGATTAAAGGGAAAAAACCTCAGATGAGATCAAAAGACAAATTTTCATTTACGTTTGTTTGAACATATTTGGCACGGGGTCTCACTATGCAGCTCAGACTCATAGTACTCCTGTTTTCAGCCTCCCCAGCTCTGGAATTACAGGTGTGTGCCACCAAATTCGGTCTCTGTGGCCAGCTCAGCATGTGGTGCTGGGGATCGAACCCCAGTCCCTGTACTTGCCTAAGCAAGTGCTTAGTCAGCTGAGCTATCTTGCTAGCCCTCATTAATGTGTTATCTATGAGAGGAAAAGCAAAAATAAAAGAATTCAAAGGCTGAAGTCTAAAGCTACACCATGTAAAAAGTGAAAGAAAGAAAGAAAGAAAGAAAGAAAGAAAGAAAGAAAGAAAAGAAAACCTCCAACTTTGGTGGTTTTCTTTCTTTCCCCTGCAGGACCACAGTACTGGGGATTGAACTCAGGACCTTGCGCCTGCCTGGCTTATTCCACTGAGCTATCTCTCTGGCTCAGAAAGCAAACATCCAAGAAAAAGCAATCTACAGTAAAATCATACAAAATTATTCAAGACAAAAAGCCTTAATTAAGAAGACAAAAGAGTAATCTGAAATAAAAATCATCACAATGAAGACAGCCCTCAAAAAATCTTAGGAATCAAACAGCGCAGAAAAAAAGAACGAAAGTAAACATAGGTTATAAGTAAAACACTAACAATGAGATAATTTAATATACTTTTTCTAAATTCTGGACTGATAAAGCACATCACAATAAAGACACAGAGGAACTTATTAGTTCCACCTCAGGAAAAAACACTGAAAAACAACAGAAGGAACAGACTAAGTAAAATTCAAGAGCCAGTTGTTAGAAAAATTAGGTACATCTCCTGTTCTGCTATCCAGATTTTAAACTTCAGAATGGGTAGGGAGAGGAATCAAGGGGTGAGGGGGAAAGAAGTGGGGAAGGGGAATGGGAGGAGGCGAAGGACAATACCAAGCAGCAGCAACAGCATTTGTTATGTTTCCCAGCACATAAAAACCAAGAGAACTGTCACACGTACTACACGGAGGTCCTCGATGCGTTTTTCCAGAAGTACAGGCAGACCCTCAGGGAGTGTGGGTATCACCTTGGGCATGACCTGAGAGGCGAAGGGTGGCTGGGGGGTGTTTCCGTTCTCTCCCCCTGACTCAGACAGGGGGCTACCATCGGAAGCAGTATCCAGTAATCTTTCAAAGTCAAAATCATTTAGCATCTCCAGCGCATTTTCAGCTTCCTGAAATAGTTCGTGTTCATTTGTGCTAACAAAAATGGGGAGGTCTGGATCAGCACTGTTCAAATTTAAGTCTGGGACATCGTTCCTCAGTGCTGTGGCAGCAGAGGGAGGCTTAGTCACAGAGGAGGTTGACAAAGTCCCGGGGACTTTGGGGTTGAACTCCTTCTTTAATGCATCCTTTTCTTTCTGAAACTTTCGGATCATGGCAGCGAGAGCACAGGAATCTTTATAACGTTTTTTCTTTTTTTCAGACTTGTGTGAATTTAGAGCCACAACTCTGTGAAGAAAAAAGTGATCAGTTAGGCGACAGGGGACTTTAATGGTTAATATTTCATGCAGCTAAGTAGGCATGAATGAAAATAATCACTTGATAGGTGAGAGCAAAGGGTTCTCTTTTTAAGTTCATACTAAATTATACTTTCATGATAGCATGTTTTTCAATAATTGTTACCTAGGAAAGGTAGATGACCACTGTAGTGAAGAAAAAGGAATAAAGCCAAGAAAAAAACCTGGATGTATACTTACGAACGTATACTAGGTTTAACTTACTCTGTTTTCTCCTTTTTAGGACATTCACATATATTAGTCAACCTATAAAGTAGGCACCTAAAGAATTAACCAAGTAGAGAAATGTACTTTTGCTAAGAATACAGTTGCCCTACAAACAGAAGTTCATTATCATTCACCTTCAAACTGGGAACACAGATGGTCTGGGCTAAAAACTGCTGAAGAAATAGAGGGCCAGGGCTGTAGCTCAGTGGTGCAGTGCTTGCCTGGCAAGCATCAGGTCCCAAGTTCAATTCCTGGTACTCTCAAAAAAGAAATATAAATCCACTTTTTTTTTTTTTCTAGCATCAGCTATATTTATTCTTAAGTATTTCTCAAGTTAATTATCATAAACACAGATAAATGGCCAAATAGACCCCAAAGCATATAAAACACACAAAACAATTACATTAAATCAAGGTATTTAGATTCTTTTAGATACAATGTCTATGTTGGATTATTATCATTTTTAAGTTTTTGAGACAGAAGTTTACCATGCAGTTCAGGCTGGCCTTGAGCTTACTTTGTAGCCCAGGCTGGCCTCAAATCTGCTTCAATCCTTCTGTCTCAAAGTGCTGGTATCACAGGTGTGTGCCCCCCGACCCGGTGACCATGTTGGATTACAATAATTTTTTTTCTCCTTGCAGTTTTTTTTGGGTACTTTATTTATATATTGGTTTTCTCATATAAATGAAACCACAAAATATTTAAGCTTATGCATCTATTTCACTTAAAATTATGATCTCAAGGTATACCAATTTTCTTACAAAAGACTTATTCTTCTTTACGGCATAGTAGTACTCTTTTGTGTATAAATATATTTTCTTAATCCATTCACCTATTGATGCGCTTGTTTTTTTTTTTTTTCCTCTTTACGGAACCGGCGATTGAACTGCCCCATTCTACTGAGCCATCTCCCCCGCCCCTCAACTACTGATGGACATAAAGACTGCTTTCAAGACTTAACTATTAAGAATTGTGCTGCTATATACATGAGTGTGTGTATCAGTATAATATAATGCTTTTGGGAAGATATGTAGAAAGAGAACAGTTGTGCAAATACAATTTCTATTTTTAGTTTTTTTAGGAATCTCCATACTGATTTCCATATTCACTGTACCAGTTTATAGTCCCACCTCCTCTACCTGCAAGCACTGGTTAAGCTATTTCTTTCTTTTCTTTTTTGAGCCAGGGTCTTGCTATGTAGCGTAGGCTGGCCTGGATTTAGTATGTAGCCCACGTTGGCCTGCATCTCACAGTGATTCTCCTGTCTCAGGCTCCCAAATTCTGGGATTAGAAGCATGCATCACCACCCACTTTCCCGGTGTGGGTTACATGATTTCTTGAAGACAGCCGTTCTTTTTGCAGTAAGATGACAGATCCTTCTACTTATTAATATATATTGCATTACTATTAAATGTTAGTTCATAGGCTCTTAATATTTATAAACATTATGTTAGGGGCCAGGGAGATAGCTCAGTAGAATAAGCGCTTGCGTGGCAAGTGCAAGGGCCTGAGTTCAATTCCTGGTTCCGCCAAAACAAAAACAAAAACAAAAACAAAAATAAAAACATTATATTAAGTTAGACTAAGGGGAATGAGTCAGCAGTGAATATACTATATCTCTGTAAAAGGAGGGACAGTGCAACTGTGATATCTGCTCCCTTACTAGACTAAATGCAACGTACCCCAGCTGTTTGGGTGTTTTTTTCCTTGGCTTCTTCTCTTTTTCCCCTTCTTCTTTCCGCTTCCGCTTCTTCAATTCAATGTCATCTTCTTTTATTTTGGGAACCTGCAAAATTAGTTTTAACATTGCATCACATGGGGTCCTGAGTTTGATTATCAGTAACAAACAAACAAACAAACAAACAGCACCATGTATGTGAATCAAAGCCTTTCTGTTGATGATTCCAATCCATAGCAGTGGTTTTCTGCCACTTCCCAGAGGCATCACAATTACTTGTTAAACCTTTAGTCCAGGTTTCTGGGATCCCCGAGACCCCACCTAGAGTTCTGGCTCACTCCTGCAGGGTAAAGTCCTAACCTCTGAACATTTAGTGCACATTTAAAAAATTCTGGTACTAGGAAGTCTTTATGCCTCACGTCTTTGCCTAAGGACACAGTTTATTTTGTAACCTTACTCCAGCCCAGCCATAGCAGAATATTAAGCCACATCTGAAGAGAAAAAAACTAAAAACATATTTAACTCTACAATGATATGTATTTTCCTATACTGAATTTTATTTTTTATTTATTTTTATTTTGCGGTACCAGGGATCACACTTGGTCCGGCTCTTGTGCTTGCCAGGCAGACCCTTATGCTACTAACATCCTGGCCCCTGAATTTTATTTTAAAGCACATAATTATAGGTCCATTAAACAATGGTTATTATTTTACATTTTCTTTCATTCACAATTGTGGCACAAGCAATACTGAAAATACATATCTTACTACTTGGGTGTTCAGTCAGATACACGCACCTTGGGCGGCTTGTGCTTCTGATTGTCTGTCATGTCTTCCTCTTCAGTATCCGAAGCTTGGCGGAATTGCAGAGTGCCCGTGTTGATATAAAAGCCTCCGTATTTTGTTGTTAGAGAAGCAGGAACTAATTCGTCATACTAGATTTAAAAAAAGTTTCAAATATATCGTACTATCTGTAACTATTACTATGTCAAAGAAATTCACCTACCAGAGGAACATCTTTAAATATCAACTATAAAAATACCATTTGTGCTCAGACTCAAAGGAATGCAAATCTCTATGCCAAAAAGATGAGTCCACTCCTGTGTTCCTGGCAACCTTAGTCACAACAGCCAAGATATGGGCACAGCCTGAGCGCCCGTCAACAAAGGAGCGCATTTGTGAAATGTGCTGTCTCCATGGTGAGTACTAGCCAGCCTGCAGGAAATTCTGGCATTTGCAGTGACACAGCTGAACCTAAACAGTGGTAAGTGAAAGAGCCCAAGCCACAGAGAGCCAAGCTGTAGGAGCTCCTGTGGCAGACTCGGAACATGCTGAACATCTGGTAGCAGAAGCAGAAAGGTAGACCAGAAGCACGGGAGAAGCAGAGCGGCAAGGGAGAAGCTGCTCGGTGGGGTCAAGGTTGACTACACAAATGAGTTCTGGAGCTCATCAAGAGATTAGAGTTAATAGAGTATATTTCTAAATAGCTAAATAGAGGATTTTAAATATTCTCACCAAAAAAAGAAAACTAATATTTGAGGTGACAGATATATAATTACTATGATCATTATAACATGTATGTGTACACAGAAGTATTACACTGTACCTCATAAATATGTACAGTTACTTTTTAACTTTAAAATAGAACCAAAAATAAGAAAACAGGTTGCAATGAGGCTATCTATAGAACTTAGAAAAAGTTAAATATCCGGAATAAAATAAAAATTCATTTTGATTATTTGGTAAATTTGAGAAATTAATTTCTTTAAAAAAGGACTGGGAATGTAGCTTAGCTCTAGAGCACTTACCTAGCATATATAGGCTTAGTACTGAAGAAAATAAATTATTACACAATTTAAAATATTAAGGGCTGGTGAGATGGCTCAGTGGTCTAAAGCACCTACT